GTTACAAGAATTGTATGACCCGCCTCGGATTAATAACACGATCTGCGGGCCTCTTCAAGAAGGGGCTCCCGCCTGAGACTTCCTCACAATTCACTCACAGACGAAGCTCCCGCCGGATACTTCCTCCAAATTCAAGCCTGAGGAGCCCAAAAGTGACGACAGCTACAAGAATTGTATGACCCGCACGGATTAAGAACAAGGGAGGGGGATCCCGCCTGAGACTTCCTCACAATTCACTCGCAGACGAGGTTCCCACCTGATACTTCCTCCATATTCAGGCCTGATGATGATGGTGAATGATCGATGGATGATGGTGTTGGTGATGATGAAGCTGATGATGATGAGTGGTGATGATGATGATGATGAGTGCTGATGATGACGAGTGCTGGTGACGCGGTGTTGACAATGACGATGCTGATGATAATGAGTGATGATAATGAGTGAGTGATTGAGTAAGTGAGTGAATGAGTGTCTGAGTGAGTGAGTGAGTGAATGTGCGTGTGTGTGTGAGTGAGTGGGTGTTTTCCTGCGCGGGGTGCCCAGACAAAACAAGAACCCCACTTTGGATGTGGGGAACAATACAGCACGAGAAATCGTCACCTAACCATCCTTACTGTCCGTGGACACTCCTCCTGTAGAGGGACATGCCCGACTCAGTGAAAGATAGGTCTCGCGATGCGGAGCCTGGCCGCCGGACCTCCCAGGATGCGTCCTGACCAGGACTACGAGAGGCGAATCCAGCGGTGGCAGCGAGGGCCTCCGAGAGGGCCGAAAGAGAGGAAAACGGGCGAAGGGTAGCCGTATCGGTACCTTTTGCTCCTCTACAAGAAGACAAAACGCCATAATCATAAACTTTTGGCGCTCCGCGCGGATTTCGTGGATCTGCGCTGGACCCCCCATCCATGGCTCGCGCAGCGCGCCAGGGGTGGCGCTGGAGGCGCCGCTGGGGGCGCCCAGCGCGGAACCAAGAAATCCGCGCGGAGCGCCAACAGTTTGAGTTTATGGCGTGTTTAAAGGGGCCCTGGGACACACAAATAAATATACACAAATAAAGGATCTCCCATGTTTTCCCATATTTGGGAGGGGGGGGGTCTGCCCCCCCACTGCCCATATTTCCCCATATCTTCTGGGGAAGCGACGATGAATTGTGCCTGTGTGTGTTTTTCCCCATCCTGAGTGTTCTGTTCTCCGATCCGTTGCGCCTCGCGATGCGGCGCCTGGCCGCCGGACAGGAAGTGGAACAGCTCGACGCCGACCACGAGGAGCAGGGGCAGGCCGAGCGCACGGGCCCCCGCGCTCACCAGGCGGGACAGCAGCGCCTCCGCGCCCTGGGCGAGGCGCTCGAGGGCGGCCTTGGCCCCGGCCGCGGCCAGGCACCTCGGCGCAGGGGGGGGGGAGCGGCGCGCCCTCGGAGGACGGCACCTCCTCCGCCTCCTCCTCCTCTGCCGCCTCCTCCTCCGCCTCCGCCTCCTCCTCCTCCTCCTCCGCCTCCTCCTCCTCCTCCTCCTCCTCCTCCTCCTCCTCTCCTCCTCCTCCTCCTCCTCCTCCTCCTCCTCCTCCTCCCTCCTACTCCTCCTCCTCCTCCTCCTCCTCCTCCTCCTCCTCCTCCTCCTCCTCCTCCTCATCATCATCATCATCATCATCATCATCATCATCATCATCATCATCATCATCATCATCATCATCATCATCATCATCATCATCATCATCATCATCATCATCATCATCATCATCATCATCATCATCATCCTTCTCTTCCTCCTCCTCCTCGTCCTCCTCCTCCTCCTCATCCTCATCCTCTTCCTCCTCCTCCCCTCCTCCTCCTCCTCCTGGGAGGTCTTCGAGGGACAGCACGTGGACGAAATACTCGAGCCCTCGCACACTTGAGGGGGATGCTCATCCGCCCCCCCAGCCCCCGATATCAATGTTGCTTTTAGCATGGGCGGTGGTTTGGGGGTTCGGACATTTCTGTCCACCCATGCCCTCTCCCGGCCGCACCCTGTCTCAATTTTGGGGGGTCCGGGGGGGCATCTTGGGCCGCAGGGTTCGGACTGCTTGTCCATGTGCGAGGGCGGTGGAGGGCTGCTGGGCCCGATTAAAAGGGCCAATGAGCAGGATTGGCCCAGATGGAGCCCGGGATTTAGCAGGATTGGGCCGATCGTCGACCACGGACATACCAGCGAGGGGAAAGCACGGCGGGCTCTTCTTGTGACGACCCTGGCTCTGGCTTCTGACACTGCGTGGGTCGCTCAGCCTTGAACGATCGGCAGTTTTTCGATCGCCAGATCGTTCAATACATCGCCGTGGCGAAAGTTTCTTTCAATTTGCCTTTTGGAATGACGCGCTCGTGCGGAGTAGTTCGGAGTAGCTTTACTAAAACTACTCCGCGCGCAATCGTATCCCGCTCGATAACTTGTATGGCTTGGCGCGGGGTAGCTTCCGATCCCGTTTTGGGGGTGACAGGGTTATTAACGCCTCCGGGATCGGAAGCTACTCCGCCGAATGACCCAGCATCGTGTTGTGTTGGGAATCTTGAGAGGGACGGGAGGAGATCTTCCCGCCATCGCTCGGACGTCCATTCCCTGTGTTTTTTGTTCGGCTCCGTGCGTGGTTTTTCGCGAAATGATCCAGGATGCTCCTCGATGGTCCTCGCCGAGAAAAAATGCACCCGTCCGAGCGATGCCGAGAGCAAACTGAGGAAACTTCTGTCGCGGCTGCGTAATTGGCGTTCGACCTGCAGCGCCCCGCGGCGGGGCCGCAGCCGCGCCGACACGGCACGAGCACAGCGTGCAGCCAGTGCCAGGCCAAGCGCGAGGGGACCGGCATTCAGTCGGGCCTGTCCCCCATACAGGGGGATTGTCGACGAAAGATAAAAAGATAACCAAAAAAATAATCAAAACAGAATCCAAAAATAGTCGGGGGGACTATTTTCTGAGTCTTTGTTGACCTTTTGGGGCTATTTTGGGGGTATTTTTTTTCGTCGAAAATCCCCCTGTGGGGGGACACGCCCGACATAAGATTGGCAGGGATCTCCCTCCGAGGACCAGGTCCCCGATCAGGCCCAGGAGATCATCCGGGGCTGCCCTGGCCCTGAAGACGCCCCTCCCCAGACAGCCCGCGGACGATGGCGAAGACAACCACGGCGACGACCACGACAACCGCGACGAAAACGGCCACAACCACGACACCAACGAGAACGACCACGGCGACGGAAGTCAAAGGGGTTTCCAGAGGTCACCGGCAGAATTGCTGGAGGCCATCGGCGGTCTCCCGGGGCATCTGAGGTCCAAGGAGGGCACCAACCAAAAACGATCCTCGAGGATCGGGGGCGCCTCTGGGGAATCACCACTGTCAAAGGATCGAGGAGCGAGGAGCGCCAACAGAACACGAGCCCAGATCTTCGGTCCTCGAGATCGAGGATCGAGGCCACGAGCACCAGGAGGCCAGCGATGAGCAGCATCGCCCCAGCCCCACTGGGAGACCGTGGTCCCACTGCCCGACCTGCCCACCTCAGGCCGGCATGGGCGCCGCCTCCGTCGGACCTCAAGCCTCCGCGTGAGTCGCCATCCTGAGGCCGAGGCTTGCTGCGGGGACGTGGCCGTCCCTCTCATTTTTCTTGCGCCTGACCTGTGCCGCCTCCCTGGCCTCGGCTTCGGGCGGTGGGGTAGTGAATGGCCCTGCAGCGTACTAATACACCCGTCCCCACCTCGAGGGCGGCGGGCTGAAACGTGAAGGGACCCTGACAGACCCACAGGGCATGCAGACATGCGCGACGATGCCGAGAGCGCCGCTCGATGAGACCAGCCCGAGTCCCGTGGGTAGAGACCTCCTCGATGAGGTCGGAGTAGATGGGGTCGAAGGATCGCGCCGCATCGCCGATACATCGGCGATACACCGACAACTCATCATCGACATCAGCAATACATCAACAACATCAATGTAAACCAAATCGGGCTCCTACCCGATCTATTCCGACCCCATCTAGGAGGCCTAGAGTTGGGCTGTCTCTCGCAGCGTGCAACCGTGGAGGAGCGAAGCAGGATGGCAGAGAAGGAGGAGGGCGACGACGACGACGACGAGGGTAGAAGAAGAGAAAGGACAACTGCATTAGCACCAACTTTCGGAGCTCCGCGCGGATTTCTTGCATCAGCGCTGGACCCCCCCGCTCCTGGCGCGCGGAGCACGCCAGAAGCGACCAGGGGGGTCCGGCGCGGATCCAGACAGTCCGCGCAGGCCTCCGAAAGCGCTTATGCTCGTGCCGATTCTTCTTCGAGAGAGGAGGGATCGAGGGCGCCTGTGGAGAAGCACCTCCGAGGCCACGAGAGCCAGGAAGCCGGCGAGAAGCATGAGCCATCTCCGCACCAGCAGCCACCGCATGCCGCCGCCGCCGCCGCCTGGCGCCCAGCCTCACACGCGTTGGCGAGACTCTCGGGGGCGCGCGGCTTGGGATATGTCGCGGACGGCCGCTCTATCACTCCCCGTTCCTTCTCCTCCCTCCTGGTCCTCCGCCCCCCTCCTCCTTATCCTCCTCCTCGTCCTCCTCCTAAAACGTACCACTTCCCTTCCCCCCATCATCATCACCATCATCATCATGATCATCATCATCATCATCATCATCATCATCATCATCATCATCATCATCATCATCATCATCATCATCATCATCATCATCATAAGCATCATCATCATCATCAGCAGCAGCAGCATCAGCATCAGCATCCTCATCAGCATCATATAACTGTATCATCAGCATAGCATGATCATCATCATCATCATCATCATCATCATCATCGTCATCATCATCATGACCATCACAATCACCATCACCACCACCATTATAATCATCATCATCGTCATCATCATCAATATTCCACCATCATCATCATCAGCATCAGCATCATAGTCATCATCATCATCATCAACATGATCAGCATGATCGTCATCATCATCAACATCATCATCGTCATCATCGTCATCATCATCGCCGTGCTCATCAACAT